CGCCTTGATATTGTTTGTTACCAACTACCCTTTTTCCATATGCCACCCCTCACTGAGAATAGACTATTCACTACTGCCTTCAAGACTCACATCCTTCACTTTGTCAGAAATTTGCTGCTAGCATTTTCCATGACCTTCTACCCCACCCAAAACAACACAGAGAATTCCCTATTCAACCCACCCCTCACACTGCTAGAAGCCAACTCATACCTATAAGGCAAAAAAAGATACTACCTACCAAGAGACAGAGCGATCACCCCTAAGTGATGAGGATGACTATATGGTAGCCCTGGTACCCAGGACTTGCCTTACTCCCAAAGGAGCAGATGCTCTCTGAGTCTAAAATCAAGACCTTCTATAAAACAAAAACTTTGGACAGCATCTTGATTCCTCCTCTATCTCTGCCATACTGGCCTTGAGACTCTTTCTGGAAATAAAAAAGGAGTTCTTCCTTGTCATAATTATCCCATCCTTAGTGTAATTACTATCCAAAATTAGTCTGGAATATTCTAAATCAATTTCATAGTTGTCTACTTGGGCAATATTTTGAAAAATTCACCTAATGTGACTTGACAGAATCTCTGGGCTGGAGGTATTGGAGCGATTACAGTAGTACCAACTCCAGGCCAAACCCCAAAGTGTAAAAATTGTGTTTCTGGACCACATTCTGTTATGCCAGAGTTTACATAGTGCTGGGTAACATGTAAACCTTTCTGAAAGAAGTCTCCTAGGAAGATTAAAAACATCCAGCAATTCCTTGATACTATCAGCAATCCATCTTTATACCCCAGTACTCATCCTGTACATCTTTATACCCCAATACTTGTCCTCCTTAATAGAAAGGAATTTAGTTCCCTGATACAAAAAAATGACCTTCCAGTAGCTTAAGGTCTAGCTTACTTCTACCCCAGCCCTGGCCTATACTGTTGACTAATGCCTTCATCATCCAGGTGTGGAGTGTGGGATGTTGTCCTGTTGCAGGAGAACCTGGGTACTTTGATCTCTGACCCTGCACCCACTTCTCCAGGAAGTTGGTCCTAACCAAGGTCAGTTACCCCAAGTGGAAATGAGAGCTCTTAGTGATCAAGGCCACTTTAAAGATGGGACATACTTCCTTTCAGAGGCAGCTGTGGCAATGAGCTCAAACCATTACAGCCTGTACCAGCCAGGACAGACTCACACCCATGCTGTTTCAGAATTCAGAATCTTAAGAGGAAGTAGAAATGGTTCCAGTTTGAGAATGTCACAGCCATTTACCTCAGCCACAGCATAGGTAACAGGCAGATGCACATGTAGAACATAAAGATCCTGGCTCATCATAGGGAATCCCAGAAGTTTACTCTCCACGTGCCCCATTTTCATAGGATCCAGGGTTGCTTGTGTCCATGAGCACCACTCCAACAAGCCCACACAGCTATTCAGATTTGCTTGTAACCTGATGGATCATATTTCATAATGTGGTCTGCATACCACCTTCATCTTAATCCTAAAATGATGATTCCTGAATTAGACCCTCTAGGGGTAGAGCCTAGGAATATTCATTTTTAACCAGTGCCTCCCCAGGTGATTCTAATACACAGCACACTTTGAGAACTCTTTGTCTAAGGGTTCTCTTAGTTGCCTCCTGTCTGACCTAACCTCTAGTATGCCTTGATGATTTCTACAGTTGAAGCAAAGATAGACCAAGGTATCTTCCAAGCCCTTGGGCCATTGGGACATTGTCCCAATGAACCTTATTGTAGATTCACATCTAGAATACTTTCAACCAGTGATTAATCCCTCTTACTCTCTTAGCCCAATTCACACCAACTACTGCTGCCTTGTTCATCTAAAAGGTCTTCCCTTTCTCAAGTTCCATGGCCATCTGCTCTCCAGCCACGGCCATATATGTTAACTAGGTACTGGGGGACAGTACTGCTGCTACTCTAACACATAACACATTAGTTCTCCACCCCAGACTCCTCAGAATGCATTTCTTAACAACTCACTACACCCCTCCATCCAGGCCTCTTCCCTTCAAGACATCAATCATTTTTAGCCTGCTATTGCTCTGGCTAGTTACTGAAACCATCAACACTCCAGAGTCTGGCCAATACCTGGGTCACCCAAAACCAAGTATGTACTGCACAAGGACATAGCCAGTTAGCGTTTACCATACAACGTAGCACAGGGATTAAAAGCAGGAACTCTGAAGTCACACTGCCTGGGTTTGAACTTCACCAGTATCACTTTCTATGTCAGCTTTAACAAGTTACTTAAACCCTCTTTTCCTCAAATTCCTGAGCTATAAAATGGAGATAACATGACCTACCTCAAAAAACAGTGTGATATGATATGAACTAATATGTGTAAAGCATGTAGAATAGTGCCTGGCACATACTGAGAACCAAAAAGTGTTTGCTCTTAAATTGTATATGTATTACACTAACTGAGTCATTCAGGTGTGAGACATCAGTGAGATTTCATCCGGTCACAGACTCATCTGCCAATGCCAAAAATTGAAGGACTCTTTATAAACCTTTGAGTGAAATTCAGTCATCTGCCCATAGACCTCCTGCATCAGCAGATCCTTGAACTTCACGCTTTTCCTCCACATGATCATTCATCCAGTCTTTTCAATATTCTTTGGTGTACTTTGACTACCTTGTCTCTGCAATTAGCCCCAGCAACCTGAGGCTAAGAGACCAGTTATGTTATGAAAGAGGTGCTAGATTTCCAGCAGCATCATGGTTGGCCTACTACCTGATTTTCTGAGAAGGTTGTTAATCAAGATATAGTTGGGTGGACCACTCAAAGGGACCTTGATATAATCCAAATATAGGTGTGCTTTCCCAGCTCAACCTCAGCAATTTCTCTTAAATGTTATTCTGAGCTGGTGATTACAGTAGCACCAACTGCGAGCTAAGCCTCAAAGTGTGAAAATAGTATATGTTCACTTTCAGTTCAAGGTACCAGGACTGGGAGTAAATTACTTGCCTCCACCCTCACTTCCTGACCCCAGATCAGTTGAACCACTTGACCTGTTCTCACTGATAAAGGAAAAAGATCAAACTATTATGCTCAGTGACCAAGGTAGAGATTGGGAAAGTATAAACAAAATTAATGACAGCAGATGTGAAAAGAAAGGATAGCATTTGAGAGTATAAGAGAGAATGGACATGGCGATCAATTGGCTGTGGGAGTAAAGAGAAGGGAAATGTCAAAAATATCCAGTTTCTTGCTTAAGTAGATGGAAATATTTTAGCTAAGACTGGAAATGCCATACCAAAAAATATATAGAAGTATCAAAGGATTTCTGACCGAGAGAAGTAAGTAAATGTATAGGCAGGAGAAGGTGGTAGAGAGTAGATTAATTGGTGGGTGTCTGATTGACATCCCAAACTTAGTATGTCCAAAGCTGAACTCGTAATATTTCCCTCCCATATGGCAACCCTATTCTTCTAGTTGTTTAAGCTAAACATACCGGAATTACCCTTGACTCCTTTCTTTCACACCTCAGATTCAATCTGTAAAAAAAACTCTGTCGACTCTGTCTTCAAAATATATCCAGAATCTGACCACCTCTCACTACCTCCAGCACTACAACCCTAGTCCTAACTACAATCATCTCTCTCACAGATTATTGCAACAGGCTCCCAGCTAGTGTTCCTGCTTCTAGCCTTGCCTCTCTTTGGTCTGTTCTCCATACAACGTTAAAATGATCCTTTTAAAACGAATTAGATCCTGTTACTCCTCTGCTCAAAACACTGTACTGGCTCCCTGTTCCACTCAGAGTAAAAGCTGAAGTCCCTACCATGCCCTACGAGGCCCTACACAATATCCCCTTTCTCCTCTCCCTGGTAAAGCTACCATTTTCTTCTTTCCCTCACTGTTCTTCAGGCACTGGACTCCTTGTGCTCCCTTGAACATATCTGGCATGTTCTCACCTCTAGGCCTTTGCCCTTGCTGTTCCCACTGCCTGGAATGCTCTTCCCCTAAGGATGTCCTTCACCTCCTTTAAGTCTTTGCTCAAATAACACTTTCTCACTGAGGCCTTTCCTAACCACATTTTTAAAAATTTGCATACCATAGAAAATCCTCCTATCATCTTTTCCCTGTTTTATTGTTCTCTATACTATTGATAATCTGAAAAATAATTTGCTTGTTAATTATATCTATCTTGTTTCACCCTCCCCCTACCACTAGAACATAAGCTTCATGGAGGTAGGAATTCTTGTCTGTTTTGTTCATCACTATAGCTTCACTGCCTAGAACTTTACCTGGCACATAGTAAGCCCTCAATAATACAAGGGCCCAGCTCGTATTGGGGAATGGACAAGTGTGAAAGTTGCTGTAGATGGGCAGGACAGAGATGAATAGGAAATGTTCATTCCCAACCCTTTAAAAGACTCTCCACCACAGTGTTACCAGTTGACTTACTGAATATTAAAATGTTTGGGAAATAAAGTTATTAAATTGAAATGATCAGTTAATGCCTTCTCAAGATAGATAATAAATATTTGTTCAATGAATCAGTGGTAATATCTTGACAGATATTAATTTATCAGGACCAGGGAAGAAAGAAGGTGAGAGGTTCCACACGGCAGTCAGAGATTAGAGTACTCACAAAGTCAGGCAGTCAGGATGTCAGAGATTCCAGCATACTGAAAGTTACTAGACCGTGGGTTGTTATGTAAGTTTCACATTTTAATCAAAAAACCACTAGAGGGAGTGCAAGGTTAAATCAAGTATGTTTTCCGCTTAATGAAATTCTATTAACGTCATTCTCGTTTCTATTTATTGATCTGATGTTCATCTAAACTGTTTCATCAGGTCAGAGTGTTCTCCTGCACCACTTTCTTTCATCAGTCCAGTATCTGACTCATAATCGGTCTTCAATAAGTATTTAAAATGTGAATAAAAGAATGAAAGAACGAGTATTTAGAATCAACAGATTTTCACCTTGAAATTTGTTTTACTAATTGACAGTGGTCAGTATTTCCATCAAGAAACCGTTCTTCGGTTTTGCACAATGGCAATATCATAACCAATGAGGTCTATCTGAGGCGTAATTATTGCTAATTGAAAACTTTTCCCAATACCCTGCCATGACGACTTGAAATATAGTCGGCATTAGCAATTTTTGACAGTCTCTACAGAGACTGAATAAAAAAACAAAAAACAAAAACAAAAACAAAAAAACCATTCTTCAGAGTTCGTAACCTAGCTGATAAAGATAACACTCTTGATCCTTAGTCTTAAATAATGTTTAGGCAAGAGGAGGAAAAGAGTCAGACTTGGAGTTTGTATGCCTTATTTGTATAAAAGATTGTGTCAGAAAAGAGTATATGTTGTAAGGCCAGACTTAGGAGTCACTAAAGCCCCAGGGAGGCCTCTGCTCCCATACCAACTCCTCCCTTCTCAGGAGGGGTAGGCAGCTGCTGAATTATGCAATTCCTCTAGGCTTCCTTGACTCCGCTGGAATTGTTAGCTCTGCTTTTGCACATGGAGATTTCACTGCTTGAGAAACCTGCTGTCCACAATGTGCTTGAAAGCTGTAGGGTGGTTCAGGAGGAAGAAAGTTAAACAGGCTCTGCTTATTGTCTTAATAATCCATTGTTCTCTCTGAAATTCTCTGAAAGGATTTTGGGTATCTGGATTTGCAGCTTTCTGATCTGGGATATTGTGGGAGGTATGGAGTCCTTGTCTAGTTGTCATCTGATGGCTGAAGTTTCCACCTGCCCTAGATCCAGGCCCATGAGTTGGACCCTCATATTAAGAATTTTTCATTAATGCAATCATTTTAAATGGTGTGACAAAATAACCCTTTTTAAAAATTTGATAAACATTTTTTTAAGAACAGTTTTAGATTTATAGAAAAATTGAGCAGATAATGTAGAGTTCCCATATACCCCACAGTTTCCTCTATTGTTAACATCTTACATGAGTATGAAGCATTTGTTACAATTAACCAATATTGATACCTGATCATTCATTACAGTCTGTAGTTTATTCATAGTTTATAGTTCCTTAGTGTTTACATAATGTCCATTTTCTGTCCCCGGATCCCACTAGGACACCATATTACATTTAGTTGCCTCCTTAGGCTCCTCTTGACTGTGTCAGTTTCTCAGACTTTCTTTAATTTTGATGACCTTCATAGTTTTGAGAAATACTGGTCATAATACTCAGTATTATATTTTTCAGTGTGTTTTATGTATTTTAATGTATTTTTCCATCTATTTAATGGAATCTTTTCAAAAGTCTGAGAAACACAACCCATTTTTATTGCTCTTCTCAGCACCTATTTTTATGATAAATCTGAACATTTCCTGAAGCTAGTCCTTGCTAGAGGAGGGCAAGTGTCTCTAGCATTGGTGAATTTTTCTAGTACAGTAAAGCCTTTCTATTTGTTTTCCATTGTTACCAACCCCAAGCTGAAATCATCTTTTCTTAGGCAACTTAAATGAAAATTGAAAGTGTAAACTCAAAGTACGTATCTAAAACTAATTATCTTTTGCTTTCAATTTTTTTCTGATGTCTTCACTGTAGTAAGGGTCCTACTTTTTCAGTGTCAGTGTTTAAATATAAGAACCAAGGGACTGAAAGCGGTGGCTCATGCCTGTAATTCCAGCACTTTGGGAGGTTGAGGTGGGTGGATCACCTGAGGTCAGGAGTTCAAGACCAGCCTGGCCAACATGACGAAACCCCATCTCTACTAAAAATACAAAAAATAGCTGGAAGTGGTGGTGTGCACCTATAATCCCAGCTACTTGGGATGTTGAGGCACAAGAATCGCTTTAACACAGGAGGTAGAGGTTGCAGTGAGCTAAGATTGCGCCACCGCACTCCAACCTTGGTGAGAGAGCGAGACTTCATCTCAAGAAAACAAACAAACAACAACAACAAAACAACCAAGGGCTAAGAGAAAGGAATAAAAGGAATAAGTTGGATAGAGCCTCATGTTGTTCCACAGCTTTACCTTAATATGATTTTCTTTGTTTTTTTTTTTTTTTTTGAGACGGATTTTCGCTCTTGTTACCCAGGCTGGAGTGCAATGGCGCGATCTCGGCTCATCGCAACCTCCGCCTCCTGGGTTCAGGCAATTCTCCTGCCTCAGCCTCCTGAGTAGCTGGGATTACAGGCACACGCCACCATGCCCAGCTAATTTTTTTTTGTATTTTTAGTAGAGACGGGGTTTCACTATGTTGACCAGGATGGTCTCGATCTCTTGACCTCGTGATCCACCCGCCTCGGCCTCCCAAAGTGCTGGGATTACAGGCGTGAGCCACCGAGCCCGGCCTTAATATGATTTTCTAACCCTACTTATCTTTAATATAACTGTATTATCACTTAGATAAAACTCATCTTTTTTTCAACATATTTTCAAATATTTAATCCAACTACCCACTTAGATTCTTATACAACTGATACTACTAAATTTAGTTGGAATGCTAGTAAGCTGCATTCACTTCCTCACTGGTCTTTGCTAGAATTCAGTGAATTTTTCTTCTGATAATCATTAGTTTCAATGCCTTTCATGTACTGTCTTTGGAATTTAGTAAAACTGGCTCTTTAAACTCTTCTGGAAACTAGGAGCAGAGGTAAGGCTTTAATTGAGAGGACTTTAAACCACTAGTCTTGCCTGATGTACTTTAAATATAACATTAATAATAAAGCATATAAGGTGGATTAAGTCAACTGGTAACTATGGACTTTATTCCAGACAACTAACAAATTCTAAGAGATTATAATAGCTTCCTCTGGGAGGCATCTTGAAGGTCCTTAAGCTCTTATTAATGCCTTGACCAGGAATCCCTATCTGTGGATTTACTATAAGAGGGATATATATCCATAAAGAAGGTACACCAATTAAGTTCAGATTTCTGCTTACTGTTCAAGGCTTAATAATAAACAATAGCAGTATTTACTAAAAAGTTCTCATAAATGCATACTAATTGCAGGAAATGTATGAATAGTTGGAATTGAAGCCATTCACGTGAAATTAAATTATTGGGTGTAATAGTACAAAGTATGGAACTTTTAGAACTATTCAGATAAATAAAGGATCTTTCCTCCTCATTAGATGGCAACTTTGGAATAGGCTCAATGTTAGATACAGGTCATTGAGACTGAGCGACTTATCTGTGCCATATACTTGAATACATTTTTGTTTCTGATTAAAGGTTGGTCTTCTTTCAGGTAATATCTGTAGCTAGTTAGCTCAGGCAGTTAGAATACAGTGCTAGTGAAGCCAAAACCATGATTTTAGTCCTTGTACAAACCAGTTAGTTTTCACTTACTCTAATGCTACTACTGGCTGCACCATTTCCCTCAGCCAGCCATCTCGTCAAAAACATATACTAAGTCATAAGGGAGGCCAATCTGGGAGATGCAGGTTGATAAATCTTTCCAGTTTTGAACAAACAGCCCAAACCCTCTTTCTCTCTGTGCTGAGTTAATTGCATCATTTCCACTGGTTTGGCTCACTATGTTATTATGAGTACCCTAAAATGCAGAACTATGTCCACTGCCTCTTCTGTTTTATATCCTATTAGCTCAGGAAAGATTTTCATTCCATTGAGCACCAGACTGTGGGGTATATTTTTGGAAGCAAGTGTAGGTGTACCAGAGCCAAAAAAGGTTGGGAACAACTGTAGACAAACTGATCTCACTGTTCCTAGAGCTGCCAACTCTAGGCACAGAGCCCTTAAAGTGGACTATGAATGTCGAGTGGATGGTTAAAAGAAAACCCACTATGTGGGACTAATTCCTGATTTCCCACAATCAGGTGCATATATTTTGTGTGCATGCATATTTTATGTGGAGAGAAGCAGATGTGCACAAAGCTTATTTATTTAGCTATATGTATTAGATCAGAATTGGGAGCTTAATGAAAGAAAAAATGTAAGTTGGATAATTATAATAGTTAATACTTTGGATTTTTAATAAATATCTTTAAACTTATCATGATAACATTCCTCTGAAGGAGACAGTTAAGGTTGGGGAGTTTTGGGTAAGATGAAAAACTAAAGCAGGGATCTAGGTCTCCTGGTTTCTACCCCAGTTTCTATCATTAGAACATGTAAGTCTCCAAGAGGACTTGCTGGATATAACTATGAGGCCAAATAGCAGAAGGATTTCTGTTTTTTCCAGTCTCCTTCTTTGATAGAGGAGACAATGGAGTTGTGAACACACCAACTTGATCTGTAAAAGCTGTTGAGTTAGTTCTCACAAGAGAGCTCTGCATTTGACAGCTACATGAACTGGGCCACAGAAGTAGTGAATGGGGTGCTATGAAAAGGAGCCCACAGAAGATCTCATAACAAGGTTTGGATATTAGGCATGGAAACATCTGATTATATAATCTGTTAACCAGCCATAAGCTATAATGACACAAGCTAGGACTTGTAAGCTCATGTTTCCTTCCCTAGATCATCACACCCAGCAGTGAGGAAAAGAAAGTTAATGTGTTCTAATACAGATATCAGCACTATCCTAAAGATCAAGTATAGGTGTGCTCCAATTTAAGAAATCTCAGGAAATAAAAGATGTGTCAGTTACCAGATTGATAGATACAGGGATTTTGGATGGATAGAATATTTACTTTATAGAAGGAGTTTTCCCTATGACCATATTTACCTGAGTTCCTTAAATTAAGTTCTCCAGTGAATTCATTTGATTGACAAGGAATCAATTATTACACGACTTTTCCTGAAAAATGTGATAATTGATTCTTTGTCAATCAAATCTTACCATAGTATTACTATTTATAAAATATGGGTATTTTGCCGGGCGCGGTGACTCAAGCCTGTAATCCCAGCACTTTGGGAGGCCGAGGCGGGTGGATCACGAGGTCAAGAGATCGAGACCATCCTGGTCAACATAGTGAAACCCCGTCTCTACTAAAAATACAAAAAAAAAAAAAAATTAGCTGGGCATGGTGGCGTGTGCCTGTAATCCCAGCTACTCAGGAGGCTGAGGCAGGAGAATTGCCTGAACCCAGGAGGCGGAGGTTGCGGTGAGCCGAGATCGCGCCATTGCACTCCAGCCTGGGAAACAAGAGCGAAACTCCGTCTCAAAAAAAAAAAAAAAAGGTATTTTACAATGCATAGTCAATGCACCAACATAAAGAGCAGATTTCACAGAATTTTGTTTTCCT